CAGAGATCTTAACACGACAGAGATCTTAACACACCAGAGATCTTAACCCACCAGAGATCTTAACACACCAGAGATCTTAACAGGTCTAGGTATTGAAAGGTGTCTTGAAAAATTGAGTCACCGCAACCATGAGAGCATGCAGCCCTAACTGGCCACCTAACATGTAATGCAGTTTGCTGCAGCAGAATGTGAGATTAGCCGAGGAAAGACAAGTGCACTCTCACTCACTCACGGATTTACCCACACGGGATTATCCTGTGACTCCTGGCGGAGATAATAAAAGTCGGACGAAAGGTTGAAACAATGCCCCCAATGCCCATCACACGATGGGCATTACCCCACAAAGACAGATGTTGTTGTTCAATAATAACTGTAAAAATAGAATGTTAATCTGACTTCACACAGGTTTAAATTCTGCCACAGAACCAATGTAATGAGGTCAGCCAAACTAAAAACAACGCATGGTGTTGTTAATGAGCACTAAAAAGCACTTGAGGGCTCCTCGTTATTGAATTATGAGCAGCTTAGTAGCAGTAGTAGCCTTTGTAAAAGTATAATCAGTCCGAGAACTGAATCCTCTGCATTCACACAGACCTCATTACATGAATGAGTAACCTGCTGCAGCACTGTATCACTGGACATATGAGGTACACGGGACCTTCTTATATTTGGATGAGTGACTACATGTGCTAGACAGCTGTGTGACTATGGGAGTCACACGACATGTTCATATATACACACAGACCGGACACATAGGACCGTTGACTAACAGCATGAGGAAGTAGATATCCACCAAAAACCAGACGACGCAGCAGAAAGAAATAATATTTTAAAGATCTATTTTGGCTCCGTCGTGGGAAGTTTATTTGAATAAGTTAGCTCACGGGATCAAGTCTCATATGTCGTGTTCGTGCATTATTAATGTGAAAAACATCTTCTCTGCTCTTCTTTTGAAATATGCAACATGTGTGAGTGTCATTGCTAATAACTAATAAAGTTCAGGGCAAAATCACAATTGGTATGAATGTGTAGGTGTCAGCTGAGAAAGGCTAGAAGTGTGTCTGTCTGTAGTTTCTTACTTTGCTGTGTTCAGGACATTTCTGGGCGTCAATCTCCTTTAAAAGAACGTAGCGACCAGGTGCCTCTAAATAAAAAGGCTTTGTAATCTTACCTTTTCTCAAAGAGCAACAGAAAATATAATCAGTTAACAAATTGAATCTGTAGTATCTCGTTTATAGTAGCTTGTTTACCAACAGTGTCTGTAATAGAAAGGACAGAAAGGACAGATGTCTTTCCACTCCGACTGTCAGAATCCACAATGTATCTCTCTATACCATCATATTTCCAATGTTTTTTCCTCTATTTGATTATCAATTCCTGCAGATAATGAAGTCGGTGTTTTAAATACGCCTGCAAATGTTTCACTTTGTATTCTGCAGCATAAATTGCACCTGTTAACACGTCATCCAGGAATTATGAAGGTGTGCAATGTAAATGATGTCTTACTGTAAAAAAGATATATGTAGATATGTGTGCAGATTTACGGAGATCAGATTGTTACAAAATGTAAATATCATAAGTCAGGCCTAAACAAATAATTAGTACGTCGACAGAATGTCTTGAAGACATGGTTGGTAAATGCAGTGGAATTAACTGGACAATATTTCCCTCTGAGATGTAGAAGAGTAGAAGTATATAGTACCATCAAATGGAAATATGCAATGGAGTAAATGTACTTAGTTTCTGTCCACCACTGTCTAACATAAACTCTGCAGTGTCATACTTTACATGGCAGGAAGTAGAGCTAATAAACGGCAGCCTTTAAAACAACCTTGCACCTCTCAGTGCGGTTACATCTGGTTGAATAATATTTCAATTTCCTCCTGAACAGCCTTGCAGCTCCAAAACACAACATGACGAGACGTGTTTCTACCTCCCAGCTTTCGGAAAAATGCTTGAGTGTTAAAAAGAAAGTATTCTTTGTATCGAGGTCCATGCATTCATCCTCTTTAAGTTCATGTTGAGTCTTATGAACTAAGCACTTGTTCATCTCTACAGTGGTCTGATGAATAATAGCGATGTTAGGGGGGTTGTGGGATGAGGATAAGAATGTAGTTCAGGACACCATCTTTATTAAAAATCCAGCAGTCCTATTCAATTTTTCAAGCAGTGTCCCAGAATGCAGCTGGGCGCTGAGTTCACTGCCAGCCTCTGTGAAGTTTTCAGACACCGCAGCGTAATCCGACACCTGACATCATCTGTTGAAGGGATCTTTGCTGTTTGAGTGAAACCAGATGTAATTCCTCTGCCTGGAAAAAAAAATGAAACTCCTCCCCAGACCTGCAACTGCCTTTTGTATTTCCTCAAAATCCAACCGGTATATAAACTCACACACTGACCTACTTTGACAGCAGAGGAACACGGTGTCGCACTCAGAAAACTTCACCAAACCCTTTGACTTTCGGACTCAAGGTAAAGTTTGTTGTTTTACTTTCAGTTCTGTGCATTCCTTCTCTGGAACAGGGTTAGTTTTCAGCTTGTTAAACTTAGTGCAGCGGGATTCAGGTTGAGTAAACCTGATGTGCTGCTCCTCAATGAAGCCAAAGGATTCTCTTCATTACAGGCACTGTTCTGTTTAAGTTTGACTCTCAGGGTTCATTTCCTTTGAATTAAGGCTCAGACAGATTTAGAAGTATTTGTGTAAGCTATGAAAGTGATTATGTTAATAGGATTAGGATTGTGTTGAACCTTAATAGAAAGAGTTTTGGAAGTCAGAGGTGCAGACTTAACTGGGAGCTGTTTCGACCTCTGCAGAGTTAGTGTGTCTTACTCCTGGAACAACATATCATTCAAAATATTGACCAATGTTGTAAAATATACTTCTAAAGAACAAAGAAATGTCCATGGGGAGAATTCCTATGACTCATACAGCGACACACAGTGTGCTTCTTTCACATTAACTGTAGATGATTTGCATAGATCATGAAACCCTGCTATTTAAATCATTGCACTTCCTTCAAACCGCCCGAGAGTGAAGCCAGACGAGATGTAATCAATATGTGTGTAGGACGCAGCTCAGTTCACACACAGCCTTAAAGATAAGCTTTAGTTTAGTTAAACTCAACAGGGCGATGGCCTTTACTGGAAGCAGGGTGTCATAAAACAAGAGAGGAAGTGGGAGACGCTGACGAATGACAGATGGCACGAAAGCAGAGAGAAGCAAAGGTGGAGGAAAAAAGTCTGCTGTGATTTCTTTCTCTAAGTCTGGAGTTGAACATGCACCGAGGAAGTGTTTGAATCCCTGATGAGAGAGCAATGGGAACATTTCATATTCTTTATCTGCTTCCTGGTCCTTTGGTGTCTGTATGAAGCTGCTGACAGACAATATTCAATATCTTCAAATTTGATCATGCTTGTGGCCAAAAAAACAAAAGGAGTGTGTTGTTTGCCACCGACCTCTGGACAGGAAGTAGAGTGTTATCTCCACTGCAGCTGTTGGAGGGTTTCCTGGGAAATCGAAACCAGCATGCTTCTTGTCTTTGGTGGCACACGAGTGAAACCATCACGTGACAGTAAAACCAGCTTAAACCCATTAAAAAGTGATGTGTCAATTTATATCCTTACATTCTTTAGAGCAGCTTTGACTCTCACGCCACTCTGAAAAAGAATTCCAGCCAATGCTGAACTCTGAGTTTTGATTTGATGTCTGTAAAACATGAGGTTTTTCCTGTTCTTTCAGAATGTTGCAGTGTGTGTGCTTGTTGCTGCTGGCGGCCTCGGCCCTGAGCCACCTGGATGAAGCCTCTCTGGACACCCAGTGGGAGGATTGGAAAATCACACACCGGAGAGAATACAACGGCCTGGTAAGTCTCTGCCATTAACTGTGTGTGTAAGCTTTTCTCCAAATCCAAGAAAAAAGCTATTCCCAACCATATGTAACGACAGTGCTGTTGGTTTTCTGGTGAGGACGTTCTCTAATGACTTGCTTTGCCACAACTGAAGAAAACATGATTACACAATTTGATAGTGAAAAGGAAAGTTTACGGACGAAAACAGTACAGTTTTATAAGCTGTAAAACTTCCATGACTCCTCGTATCCTAATAACAGACCACATCCGAACTCAAGATGGGATTTGCACAGAGACAAAGTGTTCCTTTAAAGAAATTTACCAATAAAGTTATCAAAACCTGACTTTGTATGCGATGCAAATTCCTCAAATATTGCACCAAGCTCTCAGAGAGAGACCGAGGGAAAGATCAGACAGATATTAACGGGAGAGGATGTCAGACTTTCATTATCACTGGAGTTGCTCTAAGTTGCGCACCACAGCTGAGTTTACTGAACAATGTCCCTTTTCAACGGTGACTTTCATCAGAGCGTTTTATTTTAAAGTGTTACTGACATTACAGCCCGAGCTGTGTCTGTACGCACCAATGAATAGATGTGCATTCATTTAGCCCTTTCTTCCGTCTTCAGGCTTCTTGTGTTCCCTCTTATCTCTTCTTGCTCTCTTTGTGCTTCGGTAAATTGCTCAACAAGTGGACGTCTTTGTGTTGACTCACTGCCTATCTAAAGCAGACTCAATTTAACGGCCAGTCAGTTCACTGCTCGTCTCCTCTCTCTCTCTATCGGCTGGCCTGTTTCTGCTGTCGGCAGTCTGGTGCGTATCTAGTCTGGATATTGCAGCTCTGTTGAGAGAACATTAAACAGGGCAGATGTTTTGTTTTGCCAACATTCACTGTTGTATGTTAGTCATATGTTTGTGGTCTTATTTTGTCATTAAAAATGATTCAAATAGCTCATCGTTCCTTTATAGTTTCAAAGATTAAAATGGAGGTGGAGGGTTTATTGTTGACTGTAAAGTCCAAAAAGGAGAGTCAGATTTTAACCAAATAATTAACTTAATGATTTGCTGCCTTTTGTTTTTAGAATAATAATATAATAATAATATTTAGGATTGTTTAAGTTACACTGCCAGAAAGTATTCTCAAAGATCTGGTGCTGCCAGTCCACCAAAATGTTAACATTCATGTACAGTATGCGTTTGTGTGTCTTATGTTGTTTATATCTGTATCTGTGTTTACATGCAGTTATTTGAATGTGTGTGTTAATGAGATCATTATGTGGTGTATTATTGACATTCATGTCTCTCTCTCTCTCTCTCTCTCTCTCTCCCTCTCTCTCTCTCTGTCTCTGTCTCTCTCTCTCTCCCTCTCTCTCTCTCTGTCTCTCTCTCTCCCTTTCTCTCTCTCTGTCTCTCCCTTTCTCTCTCTCTCTCTCTCTCTCTCTCTCTCTCTCTCTCTCTCTCTCTCGTAGTGATTTCAATCAGTATTCCTCCAACAGTGCCTCTAATTCAACCCCTCCTTGAACTGACATCACTTAAATAGAACCAAAGTCTCCGCGCATCATTTGCATTTTCCATTACTGGAATGGATATCAAGATAGAAATAATCATTATAGTTATGCTAATGGCTGTTAAGACCACGAATACTAAGCAGAGCGTGGATGTTTTTTAGGTAAGCAACCAAACACTCGGCTCTATCTCATTCCTTAGTTTTTATAGACACGTACAGAGGTGATGAGGTGCCAATATTCTAAAAATAAGGGATGAAGCAACATTTTAAGGCAACTTCCAGTTGCATTGGACAGTCATGTTGCTGTCTAAGCTGTAGGGAAGATCGCTATGTGAACGTGCACTGGTTTAATTGGCCTAATTAATGAAATGAGGCTGTAACACAGGCGAGCTTCCTTTCTTCGCTAATTAAAATGCAGATTTGCCCTATTTGCCCAGATTCATTTCTCTGAGCTGTCAGGTGTTAACACAGGAAGAGAGGGAGGGAAGCAAAACTTAACACGGAAGGATCTGCATATGTTAAGACCTCAGGTGCAAAGACTTGATGCTCCAAAGTTCATATTTCTAGACCTAATACATCATCATATACATGCTAAAGCCTTCTTTATAAGAAATGCAGACTTCTGTTGTCTGAATTTGGAGGACACAAGCGGCCCCCCGTATCCCATAATCCTCGTGTCAAGCTTCTGTCTTGACTCAAAGTGACACGTTGCACTTGTTTGTCTCAGGATGAAGAGGGGATTCGCAGGGCCATCTGGGAGAAGAACATGCGGCTGATTGAAGCCCACAACCAGGAGGCAGCACTGGGCATCCACTCCTACGAGCTGGGGATGAACCACCTGGGCGACATGGTGAGTCTGAGCCGGTCCTGCATGCTTGAGGCCACATTTCTGTTATTTGCTTCATCCCATGTAAGGTGTCATAGGGGGAAGACAGCCGACTCTGTGTGTAGGACGCTTCACGACTCCTGGACAGAAAGATGGTTTCATTCTTTTCCATTCTTCACTCTGTTCTATGACATCATCTACACGCTACAGATTACGTGGTTTTTGACATTTATGCTCTCAGAAGTCTATTTCTGGCCTCTCCTACCGGATCGCCTTCGCATGTCATCCAAGTGAAAGCGATGATCGGTTGATGTATAGCAAGAAACACAAGCTAATTTGCCAGAATGACAATCTTTAAAGACATAAATGTCATGGAGTTCATGGCACACAAATATCAAGTGACAGCTAAATGCACGGCAGCCAATGACAGAAATCAGACATTTTCCAGCTTGTTTCCACAACATTTCATCACCAGAAGCCAATCAAGTTGCTATTTCATCATTATTTATATTACAATAATATCACTGGCTCAGCCAACACCAGACCTCCGTCTCAGGTTAATGAAGTAAAGAATACCAACTGTCATGCCGAGGAACTGCACCACGTGTTTGCCGTTCACAGGCCTCGGGTTCTGATCTTGTATCACACATTCAAGTTTTCCCAGATAAAAAAAAAAATGAGCTAACTAACAATTCTTTTCATTCTGGATTAATATGCTGACTTGATCTGCGTGCTGAGTGCATTCATTCACATGTTGTGATAGAACCAGCTCCTACGTGTCAGAGATTCATATTCTCCACAGCCGCTGTGTCTTTTAGCTGCTGTCGTCTCCGTTTGTTGTGCACGCTGCAGCCCGCTGAGGTGAAACTAAATGGGTTTGGTGTCCTTAGATCAGCGGCAGTCGCTGACGTGTGTGTGTCAGAGCGGGTCATGACTGATGGTTGTTTTTGTAATCAAGTTGCCGGCTGTAACAAGCCGTACATCAAAAAATGTGTGGGAAGCAATATGGGTGAAAAACACAGGCTCATTTATTAGTGACAGGAAGACGTTTACACATTCAAGACTTCTGGATAAATGGCCAATTTCATGTGTTGATGTAGAAACAGGTGGCCGGGAAATGAAGGATGTTTTTCCATTTTCATCTTGCACTTAAGGGAAACGAAAGGAAGGACCAGATGGTCTGTAGTTCTTCTGTTGGTGATCTCTCGGCTCGCATACTGAGCTGTAATGAAAGCACTGGGGACATTATTTTCAATGATTGCTTTAATACCGATAATACAGGAGTTCCCTTATTTCACCTCCTCTTTTGCTCTTATCCTCCTCGTCTGCTTCCTGCTTTACGTTGTTGTTTTGTAAATCTTGCAGCGTTGCACTTCTGGTGTCACTGTTTGAAATTAGTACAGTGCAGAAAAACTCCATTTCCTTTTGGAGTAAACTGCTCAACCCATCCCTTCATGAAACACTTTTCATCCTCCATCACCCTGCTGAATCAAATCCTCCCCCTCCCGTATCTTCTTCACTTGTTCTTGTCTTAAGTCTAAAAATAAATCCTCTCCACCTCTCTTCTCTTGTTCCCGTTCCAACACATTTTCTATGTCACAAGATTATTCCAGGAACCAAGGGAAGTTTCATATCATCTGTTATCGGAGGGGTGCAACCTGTAATCCTTAACTTCTGCTCTTCAAAGAGATCATTTCTTTGAATATATCTTGTTTTGATCAAGAAACTCAACCTCCGTCTGCACTCATCTTTTCTGAACGAGAGCGTCAGCAACATTCCTAAACCCCCCCGATGTAAAACATTAACTGTGTCTCCGCTCACGCAGACGTCAGAGGAAGTGTCCGAGAAGATGACCGGTCTGCAGGTCCCGATGGACAGCGAGCGCAGCTTCACCACGGCTCTGGACGACGCGGCGTTCAAGTTTCCCAAATCCATTGACTACCGCAAGAAGGGCATGGTGACTCCAGTGAAGAACCAGGTCAGAGGTCATCTAGCACACATCTTAGTCGTTGTATATTTAGTAAAAAAAACACACAAACTGTGGTAACACATTCATGATTCTTCTTATTGGATATCTGGTTCACCAGAGCTTCTATGTTTGTTTGTTTTTGGCAGCTTCTTAGGGTGAAGCGTAGTTATTCATTTTATAGTTACTGTACTCATCTTTAAAGCACTCTCTTCCAATAAAAGCATTTGTTTTGGTTTTACAAGAGAAAGACCTCAATGGTGAAGAAAAACTAGGTTGGTTTGGTGAAGGTTCATCTGCTTAACGCCTTCACCTCTGATACAGATCAGTGCAAAGCAGCTTCCATAAGCTTCCACTGTGCTGCCTAAGATGTGTGACCTAATAAATTCCCATCAAAGCTCCACCTACCTAGGAGAGGTCTCATCAGCCAGAATAACTGGAAAAACCTTGAGACCATGTTGTGATGGGATCACACAGCTCGTCCTTATTCCCAGGGCGCTGATTACGGACGCTTTGTCTCACACACAATGCACCCTTTAGCATCTGTATTAAGTACCAATCTGTGTCAATTACCTACTGTAATACCCCATCCATGTCATCAGCAGACGCTTAGAGGAAATGATGCAGGAGTGTGATGAAGTAGTATTATTACAGGAAAATGAAACTGGGAACCTCACAACCCTGGCACCCGCAACATAGTGGAGAAACTGGGCTTACAGGAAATATGGCAATGACAATCAGAAGAGCACAATGAGGACAGAGAACGTGATCAAGAGCTGATATCACATGATTAAAGAGTTTCGCTTCAGTAAGCACAGCGATCAAAGCAGACCTGGGACATATGAGGACATCGGGCTGAAAAATGAATGTTGCAGTTCATGAGAATCAAAACATCTCACGATGGTTATTAAGTCTTATTCCTCAGTCAGTAGTTTTCTCATTAACTGAAATACAAGATATGAATCTACAGATAGAAGTTTCTTCGGTTCATGCGTTTGATGGTGTTTGTTTGAGGGCTTGGGGGAGAGCTGCTGAGAAAGATGTCCCACGGCTGCTTCCAGGCAAAACGCTGAGAAGGAAACTCACTGATTTCTGTGGGGAAATGTTGCTGTGGGAGGCAGAAGCAAAAATAATCAGACGGGAACAAATAAAGAAAGCAAACGGTCGCCAGAAAAACAAAAAAGTTGCCAGTGTACGTTGCTGCACACTGCAGGATACGTTGAATGTTAACGTTTCTGAATAAAACATCCGTTTCATGAACAAGTTTCATTTAAAATGTGATCGGTTAGGTTCAGGCAACAAAACTACTTTGTAAAGGTTAGAAAAAAGACACAAGCAGCAGTCTCCAGGGTGAAAGTCCTGTGTTTGTTATGTTTGAAGTTTCTTGTGCAAATATTAAAATAAGTATGCACAATTATGAAAACATTATAAGTAAGCACTTTTTTTTTACTCTAAATTCTTAAAAATAAGATGAGTTCAGGAACACAAGGTTCACACTCAAAACCCGTTTTACGAAGCGTTAATTCAAAAGAAAATATTCAAAAAGCTCCTCCAACATGAGTGAGCACGAGAGGGCAGCAGCATGTGATCTCAAAGAGGCTGAATGAGAGTTTGAGTATGTGGTGAGAATCCTCCACTTTCAGCCTTCATTCACGCTCCAGAAAGGTCAACACGGTCCCAGTTAGTGTACGAGGAGGAAGCAGCCTGTTCTCACTGCTAATGGACTTTGAAAAGACAAGAATGGGTTTAGTTATTACATGTAATTAGTGTTTATGAGTGGATCGGACAGCCAGGCCGTGTTTCATGTAAACAAGGGTTGAGCTGAACAGGAAGTAGATCGACTGAAATATGCTGTACATCTGTGCTTTCTGCTGGCAGGCAGAGAGCAGCAGAATGATGGGATGTTATCTAATGAACATCGGAGCTGAAGCTGACGCACTGAAGTCTCAGCACGGTCAATGATTCATAATCAGTGACACATTTTACTGTTATAGTTCATCTATTTTCATTTTGTTTCATTAACTTTGAGTTTTTAATGTTTTTCTACAAATACATGCATATTTTTGTACATTTATTTACCATAAGTTAGGCTCCAGAAATTCATTTTTTGAGAACTCCATACTTTTTAGTTCAAGCATGCTTTTTATTTATACTGACACTAGATTTAGCTTAAAGATTTGATATATATATATATATATATATATATGATATATAATAGTGTACACAAAACAAAAAGATGATAACTGTAAATATTTTAAACATGTCAGATGGATCATTTTCCATTTCTATTGTAAATGTGGGTTTATGTGGAGGACGTTGTCGCCCTCTGGTGGATGAAAGTCAAACTGCAGCCATGAACAAGATGTATTGAGCTGCTTCCTGTCGTTCATGAATTATGCAGCAGTCTGACTTCACTCTCTGCATACTAACAAGTCTGCCGCTTCCTCCCCGACGGAAGCACGATGACTGAATCCTGTTTATGATGTTTTGTTTGTTTTGAGGCAAATTTCAGTTTTACTCTGCGCTCAAAGCCGCATTCAGAACATCCTCCGGTGACATGATGTGATTAGCCCACACGTTTAGAGACTCCGAGCAGCAGGGTGTCCTCCTGGAGCAGCAGAGGTGTTTCTAACCCAAAGCCAGATGATCATTTATAGTCAGTCAGCGACTCTGGTGGTGTTTTACTCCTTCATGACTGAGAGAGCGTCTCCAGCACACCACAGAGATCCTGTTATTTAACGGAACACTGGTTTGACATTTGGATTTCATAATTCTATTTGTCAGATGTGAAATTAGATGATATGTTTTTTTAATGCCACTATAGGTGCATTCACATGGGTGGATTTAGAGACAATGGTCCCCACCACCTCCCCTACATAAGAGCAAGACACACAGACTTTATATTTGTTGTCTGTTTGTCTCTTTGTAGTTGTTACTGATCTCTTCTGTAAGGGACTAAGAGGGGCCAGCCTTAATGTCTATATCAGCCTTCAAATCACTGGAGTTAATCTAACATTCGTATGGGCATTCCATGTCATCAGTAGTGTCCTGCTCAGGTGACCACAGGTTTATAATCTTAGAACACATATCAGTGACTGTGGCATAGTATTGTTGATAAAACATCACATTTCTCCCTGTGTGACATGTTCTCACACAGAAACATCTGCCCCCCAGTGGACAGACGGGAGAAGACACGCTTCTCATCTATCAGTTTGATTTCCCTTTAGGCTGATGAGATATTAATGCAGTGCTCATTACTGATTTAATCTGCCAATTATCTTTTTAATGTGGAGTGTAAAATATGCAAAAAAAAGTCTGTCCGTTTCCTAAAGCCCAGGGTGCCGCCTTTGGATTACTTCTTTTCCCTTATACTAACAATTCAGAACCCAAAGATATTCAGTTTATTCTCACATATGACAAAGAAAAGCAGCAAATCTTCCCAGCTGAGAAGCAGGAACGAGTACATTTGTACATTTGTTTGGCTTTTTTGTTACAGAATTTGCTCACATCATTTTCTGTTTGCCCCGTCACAACCTGTAACGGGGCCTATATGTGCATATCGTATCATCAAACTACAACCACCTCACTCTCCTCTCTTTCATTAACTCCTGACAGGGTTCCTGTGGCTCCTGTTGGGCCTTCAGTTCGGCCGGGGCCCTCGAGGGCCAGTTGGCCAAGACGACGGGGAAGCTGCTGGACCTGAGTCCCCAGAACCTGGTGGACTGCGTCAAGGAGAACAGCGGCTGCGGAGGAGGATACATGACCAACGCCTTCAAGTACGTGCAGGACAACGGAGGCATTGACTCGGAGGCGGCCTACCCGTACGTCGGAGAGGTAAGGAAGCCACAATGCTGCACACATGAAGGAAATAAATCAGTTGAATCCTTAATTCCCCTTCAGTGGGTCAAAATGTTACCCAAACATTCACGTGTCCTGAAACCACATCTTTAAATGCTTCGTTTCTCTTTCCTGTCATGTGCTGTTGGTGTGACATCCTGTTCTGTGGTCATAACCCACAACTAGAACCAGACTTACTGCCTCCCCTCAGACTGAATTGAGAGACCTATGCAACACTATTAATGATGTGCAACGTGGAAAAAAAGGTCCATCTTATAGGACTTTTTCCACCCTCAATATGATTTGTCTTACTTTTACTTGAAAGATAATCATGCTGTGAGTTTTGGAACTACAGTTCCCATGATGCTTTGACAGATTAGACAGCAAACAATAAGAATAAAAGTTGCTCTGGAGTCAGCTGTTATTTGAAGTCACAATATCATCCACAACACAAAATGAATATCCATAAACTATGCCTAAATAATATATAGGATATCGAATAACAACATACATTATCAACAGCAAAAAAAAACAAGACAAAGTGTAACTTTAACACTCTGGTTTTATTAAATGACACTAAAGCGAGAAAACAAATTGCACAACTTGCAGAAATATTCTGTTTACCACAACAGAGCTGCAGACAGACTGAAACCAAAGGCGGTCGGTGGTTCCTCACTTGGCTTTCAGGGTGTCACACTTCACCCAATCAGGCTTCAGCAAGAGCAAAATCACACCATTTATTCCACTTTGATCTTTAAAGCAGCAACAATATCAGACTGAAGGGAGGCGGCTTATCGCAGACGATGATTTGTCCTAAAAAGCAAGCACACTTTCCTCTTAAGTTAACTGGTGCAACGAGGAAGTGCGACTTAAAGGCTGCATTCTCCCCATTGTTTGGATACTAGGAACGTACCGAGGCTGTGATCAGAGTCACATGAGGTGTGCATGTGACAGTAAGATCACCAGGTTTGCTGCACAGGCCTGCAACTAACAATTATTTTTGTTATCGATTTATCCGATGTATTGTTTGTTAATCAGTTATTTGTTTTTTGATAAAACACCAGAAAACGACTCCCAATGTGACATCATCAAAAGTCTTGTTTTGTCAGAACAAAAGTCCAAAACCCCAAAATATTCACTTTACTACAGTGGAAAAGCAGCACATCTGGGAACCATTATTAAATATTTGTCATTCTTGTTAAAAAGTGACCTGAAGAAGTTTCTGTTGATCCTTTTCTGGTTTGTTGCAGCTTCCTTTTGTATAAAGATTATGACCATAACTGACGTAGTTCTTAAATTTGAAGCATTGCATTTTCCAGCTGCAATTTCTTAGTCAGTTTTTTTTTTTTTTTTTGCCAGAAGAGAACACAGAGATCTCAACCAGGTTTATTCAGGATTGTTTCCTCCTCCTTTTGTCTTGAAGGACCAGCCGTGCCGCTACAACTCATCGGGCATGGCAGCCCAGTGCAAAGGCTTCAAGGAGATCACAGTGGGCGACGAGCAAGCGCTGGCTCGAGCTCTGTGTAAAGTGGGTCCCATCTCCGTGGGCATCGACGCCTCGCTCGGCACCTTCCAGTTCTACCAGAGAGGTCAGTGAGACGCACACATGTCTGATATCTGACACTGAATTATCTGATTCTTGTTATGACATGTTTGTACTGTTCTATGCAAATAATATTAAAGTAGAGACAAAGTCACAACACTGCATTTTGTTGTCAAGGAAAGACACTACATGTGAAGAGGGTAAAGAAAATGAACTAGATATCACCATGAAACTTCCCCGTTACTACTGACATTAAGACAATCCTTTCTACATTAAAGTCTGTGATTAAATATGCAAATCAGGCATTAACGAGGAGAAATAGACAGCGTAGTAAAATCAACACCTCAATGTGTATTTGGGATGTTTTCTGAAAGAAGACATGTTATGGAAGCAAATTAGCAGAACATCTCTTATTCTACAGAAGCCCAGAACGGACAAACCAAACATGTGCTTCTACACACTCCGCACACGGGAGAAGTTTCAGTTGGTTGCAATCTACATCCTCACCACTAGAGGTCGCCAGATCCTACACACTGGCCCTTTAAGAAGTGTGATAAAAAATAATTGCTAACACATTTTCTATCTTGTCAGTGGTTTAGTATGTTTTAGCCCTTTAACTCTTAATAGGAAGGACCTTTCAGGCAGTGGTAACAGGAAGTGCGTTTTAACACTACAGGTCCCAGAATTCTAAAGGCATGTTGTTCTAATTAAGAAGTCAGTCATTAATAACTCTGCTCAGGTTTCATGCTGCTCACAGCTTGAGTAGTCGTCCACACAGCAGCAGCAAAGTGAGAGACGTTGGTCAACCTGCTGAGGTGTGCGGCTTGTCACCTGCAGCTCTTCACCTAACAGATCACTGTGCCCCCCCCCCCCTTCTTCCATCACTCCCTGACGGATTTCAAACTGACACACTGACAAAAACAAAAAAGACCGAAATGACCGTTCATTGTTCATGAACCGTTCATGAACGATTGTAGTCGGCTAAACCAGATGGGAAATGACTCCGCCAATAAAAACTATGATATGGGAAGGATATTATGTGAATATGTTGACTTACGCAGACCATAGAAAGCATCTAAACTGCGTGTGATTTCCTAAAAATATTAACTTTAAAACAACTGCTTTTAGGCCTTTCGGGATTTCTCCACCAAAATGTTCTTCCTCGCAGCGCGGAGACTTTCATGTTGGAAAATAAAACCTTCTTGAACTAGCTGAATAATTAAAATGACCTCATCGAAACTGTAACACTGAAACCTGAGCCGCACATGTATGTGTGTTGGTTCACTGGTGCACTTCCAGCTCTGAATGTCTCCTCGCTCACTCTTCCTCTCCGCCATCGTGTTCCCAGGTATTTACTACGACCGCAACTGCAACAAAGACGACATCAATCACGCCGTGCTGGCTGTTGGCTTCGGAGTGAACACCAAGGGGAGGAAATTCTGGATCGTCAAGAACAGGTGGGGGGGGCACATCATCACCTGTCGAGAGCGGCATCAGGTGGCTCATAAGGCCGCCGAAAGTGAAACGACACGGCGGCGTTGATTTGACGCCGTCTGTCGGGCGTGTTGGTGACAAACTGAAATGCTTCTTTGACTCCCGGCGATGCTCAACGACTCATGTGTCTTTCTCTCCATCTCATCTTTTGTCTTTTTCTTTCTTTTGTCCCTGACAGCTGGAGCGACCAGTGGGGCAAGCAGGGCTACATCATGATGGCACGTAACCGCGATAACCTCTGCGGCATCGCCAACCTCGCCAGCTACCCCGTCGTGTGAAGAAGGACGAAAAGGGGCTTTGCTTAGTCTACGACACACAGAAATGCACTTGACTATGTATGCAGAGCTCATTCCTACCATGGATGTATTATTAAACCGGTGGTCCAGTTGCAAATAAATCCCCTGGAGCCCAAAAACTACATTTTAAAAGAGACATCTCAGGTCAATTATCACTCTTATTATTGTACATTTTTAAAAACAGTTCCAAAGCCCCAGAAAAGTATTTTGTTGTTTTTTCTGAATGACATCACTGCTGAACGGTTTGCCCGTTCTCATTGGCTCATACCTGGGCCAGAGGCATGATGGGATTAACACATAACCCGGAAGCTAGAAACCTTTTTTGGTGAATGCGCCGCAGGCGAGCAGTTCTCATTGAACTGAACAGACGCCATTTTTGATGACCCAGTTCTGTAATACATCCATGAGTCCAACATACAAAACCACTGCAAACAATAACAGAGGATTTTATTCTGTCTTGCTGGTTTTTAAAACATATATTTTTGAATCACCAAACATTAAAATAAGAAACCAGACTCTTTTGGAATGAACCTCTTCCAGCGATGAAAAGTGTGAAACGTTTGTGTGAAGTCTTAGATTCCAAGTGTCTGATGAGGACGTTTGGATTATCTTGAGTTATTTGAAGCACTTTGAACCTCTTTAAGACTCTTCAGTTGTATGTTCGCACCAGCAGACCTCCACGGTGGTCTGCTCCATAAACAGGTTTAGTACCTCCAGGGCCTGCTGTTAGTGACCCTAAACCTGAACACTGTACCAAGTCCAATCTCAGCAGGCACTCAACTCACAGTAGCACGCTGGGAGGCGGAGACAGTTCCACGGCCCCTTCAGCTTTAACTACAGGTCAAGAACCAACAGAGTTTAAATTCACTGTGACAGGAAGCATTGCTGGCCAATGGGAGCTCCTCCTTTTTCTTTCGACGCAGAGTCGGTTCTTTTAAAATTTTAAGTTTTTTCTCTCGATCGTGTCGACTTTTGTTTTTCTGTTCAGCACTTTTTCTGATGATCAAACTGTAAACTGGTGTTTTCTATGAATAAAGGTTTCATTTTGAAGTTAAATGCATCGTTTAAATTCCTCATTCACAACTGTTTTAGATGAATGTAGCTAAGCAGAAAAGCTACAATCATATCCTCAACGAGCTGCATTGTGTTCAGTATACAGTATATGTGACGTCTGGCCGTATACTCTGAACACACCGTCTTTGTGATCGAGGAGTTGCCTCCACATGGCTCTCAGCGAGGCGACGAATTTCTAATTTAGCACCTTTGAAGTTCTAAGTGTAGCGTTTCATTCATTTCTTTCACTCTGAGAGACTAAATGTGTTGTTTTCACAACTTGAAGTGGTTCAGTTTATCCAGTTAAGAATTAAAATGAGACTTCAAGAAGAAAAGTTGGGTTTCTATTTTGCAAACTTGCTCGATCTGATACGTGAAGAGAGGCCTGCTGTTTGAACCCCGCATGAGCCGAAGTCTAATAAGAGATTCATAATATAATATCTCAGGGATCTCGGTAGAATAACGGGATTCGTGGTGCAGCACAGAACATAATGTTGAAGAAATAAACATATTGAGAACGAGTGGGAATGCAATAAACAAATGAATTGATTAAAAGAAAATGAGAAGAGTTCGCCCCACATAAGAGCTGATAACAAACAGACTGATGACAAAGAGCTCATGTGTTATGAGCTCAGGTTTAACTCTTTAAGAGTTTTAGTTTTCTGTTTGGATGAAATACAAGAAATATTGTTTTTCCTCAGTCAAGAATATAACTTTTGGCAGAAACTTAATAATATTGAAAAGCAAAACAAAATATCCGGCATGAGGTCCGAGAAAACTAAAACAAAATAATCCAAAATGAATAAACAATGCAACATGTATGTGCAGCCTGGTAGGATTCTGTTTGTTATATCAAACGGTGTAAAGTGTAACTGAGTGGTACAAAGCACATTAAATATGATCATGTGCACAGTGTTCATCAGGGGGCATAACCATCATAGATGGACTGGTCGATTTTAAATTCAGCAATTTATTTACAAATTTGACATTTTATATGATTGTTATTGATTAACAGTAGAAGCAGAATGGGTTATTATCCATCTGCTCACCCGACACTTTGGTCCAGAGACCTCGACAACATCTGGCAGAGCACCACACAGTGTGTTGACCTTTCATCAGGTCTGAACCACCTCCTGACCTTTGCTCCAGGAACACACACATCCCTTCAACTGAACCGGCTGTACAGGAACACACACGTCCCTTCAACTGCACGACTGTATTTCCAGGTCGTTCGTGTTCCCGCGACGCTGAATCCTAATGTTTAGTAACCTCCCTGACCTTCTCTGCCTACACCACCGTCATACGAAAGAAAATCTTCTAACTTTGAAATATCATATATTCTGTACAACAACATATTCATTTCCCCGTCGGAGGAATATTTTTCATTTCCATTTGTTCAGCCCTGAGGACGATATGTTAAACTTACACACAAAATATTTACTAATCTCATTGTGTTAACGTCTATTAAGCTCTTTAAGCACATATGAATGAATGAAACCTTAAATGTGCAAATTAATTAATGCCCTTATGTGCAATATATCTGGGTGCAATACGATGAATATGAAAGGTCTTCCTTACACTGTGATATTTTTTTCTAGTTTCTTTTATATATATATATGCGATTCCTTTTTTATCCATTGTTAACTTTTTATTATCGAACTATTGTATATTGTCAGCTACAGACTGTAATTGATTTTTACTATTGCATTTTGGCATGACCTTTTCCTTGAGGACACTCAGCCTGTACATTCTGGCAGGGGGACAGACAATGGAAATCAGCCTTGCGGCTGTAATTGGGTGCATTTACATTTTAATTTAAAGTGTTCATCAATGTACATTGTCCCTCTCGAACAAATAAAAACTAAACTAAACTAATGACGTTTTATTGAACATTTTATCCTGTTAAATCTAAATCATTTGTTTCATCCAACATATTTGTATTGTGAGTTGTAGTTCACATCACCGCCTCTAGGAGGTGCTGGTGCGCCTTTAGACTTTTTAACAAATATATAAAAGTTATTATTTTAATGTGTTTCGACGCTAAATAAGACCACGAACCCTCTCCTCTAGCCTCAGGAGAGTCTGTGTGATTCTCAGGTTCAGTTTTAAAGCTTTAAAACTGTATAGTTGTAACTTTTGCTCCTTTACTCCCTCGTGCACTTAGTTCCTCCTCTCTCGCGCTGTTTTCCCCGCAGATCAGCTTCAGGTGATCAGACTTCAGGGCGATGCTGCTTTCTGATTCTACAGGGGAAGAACAGCGACAGGTCATGTGACACGTTTCCTGATAAATAGCGAGCAGGAACACAGAGCGGCTCAAACACGACAGAGAAGCAGCGATGACGCCCACTGTTCAAGGCAAGTTAAAACACTTTATACCCATAAATATACACACAAATGTTCTGCTTTGTATGTTAATGTCAGGACCTTTCTATTAGGGAATCCGCTGATAAACAGCTTTAACTCGGATGCTTTTACTTTCGTTCCTTTGCTTCAGACAGTTTGTTTTGTCGTCAGGCTGCAGGTGTGTTTATCAAAGTGGAGGAAAATATTAATAATGCTATATAACATTGTTATACTGTGGTTTAGTGTGACTGGTGGTTTATAAAGACTTTCAATATCTTTTAATATTTCATCTGGTCATTCTGGAGGGAATCAAAAAACGATGTGTTGCACGTTTATCCTCCAGTATTACAACGTTCATTATAGGCCAGATATGTCTTTCTATTATTAGTATGTCTATGAGATGAACAGAAGTGACCAATAAACAACACTTTCTTCAGATAAAGTCACTCGACCATAAACTCTACTGAATGATAATGTATGAAAAGTCGACACAGAGTGTCAGATTCTGGTGATTGTTTTGAATATTAAAGGTTCATCTTGTGTTCATGTATCTGTGAACTGTGACAGTGAGTCAGTCAGGCATCAGGTGACTCAGGGTCATCTTGATTTTGCTCTCTGCTCAGCTGTGCACCTGCCGGAGATCCGGTGAAACTGGCAGATCAACACACTGAACACTGACACAAAGACCCAAACCTCAATATTCATCAGCAGTAACTTCTCTACTTCCTTTATAAAATCGCTGATTCTCTCGTCCAGTCATCTGAAGCTGTTGCGTCCTGTCCAATCATTGGATCAGACTATCACTGATGATGCATTCGGTCAGATATCTTACTTGTTCACACAGTTTCAGTTCTGGTCTTGTGATGATTGCCTCACTCTGGGATGATTTATGTGCTGTTCATAGATTTTAAGTTTGAAGGAAGTGATACTTGGCCTGCTGCTGAGCATCAGACGCAGATCTTGAACACTCACACAAGTCTTTGAGAGGCAGCAGGTGAATCTGAATGTTTAAACCACTGACTAACAATAGCTATATACTATAGATATTCATATCTACAGATATATATATATATATATATATATATATATATATATATACTTAACATTGCTACATCTATTATGCATCTATTAGTTACATTGTTTACCCTGTTCGCTTGGGGTGTCTCCCTTCTTTTTCTTTTGACTTTTGGATTCAATGCAAACTCAGAGGCTTGTGTCACTGATCCTCCTGCAGCCTCCGACACGTCGATCTGCTCCGTGTGGTTTTCATGAAGCGAGCGCCACTTGTATGTTTCTGACTCAAAAAAGGCCTGAACTCTGCCTGCCGGGTTTGTTTTTCTCGGTGCGTGAGCATCTCCTCAAAGGTCAAACGACATCCTGACTTCTCATGTGGCCCACGTCTGTGTCTGTGTGTGTGTGTGTGTGTGTGTGTGTGTGTGTGTGTGTGTGTGTGCGTGTGCGTGTGCGTGTAACAGGCCTGATGTTGGGGAGCCTGCTGCTCGTCTCCCTGTGTGTCGGGGCAGCGGCCATGTTTGACAGCCGGCTGGACGTCCACTGGGGGCTGTGGAAGAAGACACATGAGAAAAACTACCAAAACGAGGTATGCGATTAGACAAAGAAAGAGGTGGATGTAAATATATTTGTAGGCACAAATCCATATGTGAGATGTATCATTAACTTAAACGATATTTGACCCGATGCACTCTCACTGTGTCTTTTTGTGTTGAGGTGGAGGATGTGCGCCGCAGGGAATTGTGGGAGAGTAACGTGATGCTCATTACCATGCACAACCTGGAGGCCTCGATGGGGCTCCACACCTACGAGCTGAGCATGAACCACATGGGAGACCTGGTGAGACACGTTCACTCACTCTACTGTTTTATACTGTAGGGAAAAAAAGTTTTATGATTTTTATTGGATTATGATCAGCATGCGTTCATTAATGATGCAGTATTAATGTTGGTGGAAGGTCAGAAGGGGATACAGCGTGACTAGTTTGAACTTTGAAGCGCAAAACCTAATCGTTATAATAAAGTATAGTTATGAATGTCCATATATATTTGTAAAAAACGTAAATGTTGGGTATGCTGCTGCTCTATTTGCTGGAATACGGACGAGGTAGCAGACAGCTGGACCCCCAAGAGGCCCCAAAGGCTCCACGTTAGCCTTCTGTCAGCGCGTTTATGGTGAATAAATTAACAAAAATGTATCTGAGGTAAATACGACAACGACGTAGGTTAAAAAATAAATAAGTAAATATAGAGCCGGGGAAAAGGGGATTATTCAACTAAAAGAAAGATAATTTACTTTACTTTTCCAGATGTAAAATCATAAATATATGAGAAAAAAACTTGAATCCAAAGTCATAAATATAGACCCAGAGAACATATAAAGGTTTTAGCTTTAGCTCCTCAAAACGTGATTCATTTGGATATAATAATAACAATGACAATAAAAATAATTATAATTATATTAATACCACTCATAATTATTCTTGTTATCAGTATTCGTATTATTATTATTATTAGTAGTAGTAGTAGTAGTAGTATTGGTATATAATAATAAGACTATTTATGTATTATTTTAACAATAAACATAGAGATTTAAATAGTCCCTAATCATGCCGTTGCAGCTGCACTTCACACATTTGTGACATTAGATGATAAATTTAAAAACTGACTTTCTCACGAATTCTGTCCTTTTTAAAATCTATTTTTTCCTCTCCTGCCAAATGAATAAAGGCCTCTTAAAACTGATCTCAGTGCTGCTCTTATCTACCTCCTCACAGATGCCAGAGGAGATCCTGCAGTCTTACGCCACACTCAGTGCCCCCACTGACATCCAGAGGGCACCATCTGCCTTCGTGGGGACATCAGGCGCCGACGTACCAGACGCCATGGACTGGAGAACGAAGGGCTGCGTCACCAGCGTCAAGAATCAGGTAAATAAAACCACACTCCGTGTTTCCATCCGTGGCCGAGCTTAAGAACCCTGTCAGCAGGATTAATCAGTATGTGTTGGTGAAAGCAGGGACTGATTGTGTCTCTCAGTGATGCAATCAACTGTCATCATCCCACACATTCCTGCTGTTACTTATTCGTCGAAGCGGTTGTTGTTCACACAGGAAGTCTTGGTTTTGCAAAACAGGTACAGAAGACGGTCACCGCACTGCCAGGCATGCATGCTCACCACAAAGTCTAGTTCACCTTCCAACCGCTGAGTTTGTATCTGTTAAATATCTCGGCTTTGAAAAAACAGCCAGTTACTGTTACTGCATTAGAAAAATCACTCGTGGAAATAAAAGTGTACACAGCCTTTATTTGGCCTCTTCATCCCTAACAATACACTCGTTTTAATATTTATAGAAGTTTATACATCATAATTATTTTTATTACACCCTGCGAGCAAGGATGGATTTTGAGACAATTGGCCCCTGGGCACAGACATTTTAAAAGGCCCCACTACCTCACATAGGAGCGAGGCACACAGACTTGTAGTTGTTTGCACTGTTTACACAGTTGTTTAACTTCTTTTGTGGTCATTTTGCGTCTCTTTGTAGTTGTTTTGCGTCTCTTTGTGTTTCTGCAGCTGTTTTGCGTCTCTT